CTCAATGCGACAGAGCAGTGCGGCCGACTGGCTGAATGCGCGGCGTGCGCGCCATTGATACGGCGACGTGCGTATTAATGGCGTACGCTCAGCCGTTTTCGGACGCACTGCTCTGCTGCGTTGAGACGTTTCGGGGCGCTTGAAATTTAACAATTTTCAAACCGCTGTAACTCGGCGAAAAATTATCGTAGACAAGAAATTAAAAAAGAATTTTAAAGCTTAAAACTTGTACTTTTACGTTCTTTCGACCGTTTTCTAAAAACTTTTTATCTTTATACTTTTAAAGTTAAAAAAGGAACACATTGTTTTATTTAAAAGAAAAATTTTTCACTCGAAAAGTTTGTAACAAGTGCTAAAAACTATAACATTTCACTAACAAAATACATTTTTTTAAATTTTGCTACGACTTTTTTAGTCGAGTGACGCGACTTTGAAACTAAACCTTCATGTATTATGCTAATGCTTATTCAAAGTTGCATAACTCGACCAAAAAAAATCGCAACAAAATTTAAAAATATGCGTTTTGCAGGTCAAAAACTATAAAATATTATAGTTTTTGACATTTGTTATAAACTTTCCGAGAGAAATTTTTAAATCGAACTACAAAGTGTCAAAAGTACTTAGTTTTAAGAACAAAATAATGTGTTCTTTTTACATTTAGAATTGTGAAGATAAAAAATTTTCAAAAACGACCAAAAGTAAGTAAAAGTATAAACTTTAAGCTTCAAAATGTTTTTTTATTGTTTTAATCTTTTTTATATTCTTTTTATAATACTAATTCAAGAACATGGAAGTCACAAGCTGTGTGAAACGTTGGTGTAGTAGTAATGTATGGAGAAGTAAAGTGATACGGCATTAATCGTGTGAATACCTGAGAATCTGTTCTAGCCATTTCGGCTGTCTGAGCAGTTTCGGATACCACAGCATCCTGCGCATTCCCGGATTTATCAAAGGGATTGAAACGCGGCGAGGTATCCGTATACGCGGCTACCTGAGGACTCTTCGGTGGCGGTGCTAACGTGGGTACAGGCCCACCTTCCGCTGTTGTCGTCTGATCTCCTTCCTTCGGTCTTAGATAAATCAAAGAGAGATATCACATGTACATTAAAATAATAGCACTCTGTCTTAAATGTAATTGCAGCAATTTAGATAATGTTACAACAGCTTTTCACCAATGACATTTATGACTAATATAAGTTATTCTGTTATAATTAAAAAATTTTTCCTCCGATTTAGCGAAAATAATTCTTCCTCTTACTCACTTGATAAATACACTGAAATCCGGTCCCTCGTCCGATTCCGCAGACTCGGATCTTTTCACTGCCGCGTCAGGCGGTGGAGCTGTCATACTCAAAAAAGAATCGAAACCTTCAGATTCTCCAAAACCGGTGATCGCTGTTTCTGAACCAGCCACCGACGAGTCTCCCCAAACTGAAGAAAAAACGTTATTACGATGAACGATTAAGTACAAATAAAAACTTTAAATTTTTGTAATCTCCATAAATACAAATGTATAATTCACGTTCGTTTATTTACCGTCGCTAGAAGTATCCATAGCGGTTGGACCGCCGAAAGCATCCAAGAATGGATCTCCACCGTTGATTTCCGGTTCGGCGGCTCTGTCGAACTTGGACGCGAAAGCGTCGAACGAGTCGCCTGTGTCCTCGATTGCCTTCGTTGTCGCTGCGAAGTTGTCCAACTCTTCCTCGGGCCGGTAAGCCTCATTTCCAGGAAACTCCGTTCCGGGGATCGGACTGGTGGAAATCAGGCCGCCGCCGGTCTCTTTCATTGGTTCTCCAAAGTCGCCCAGCAGATCCGAAGCAAAGACATTTTGAACGGGTTGTGTGACTTCCGAGGTCGCGAACAAGGGCTGAGCAGCTGCTGCTGGCGCGAAAGATGGTCTCGGTGGTGGCGCGGGCGGTGCTTCGGCCACGCCAAACGGCGTTGTTGTTGTTGTATCCGTCACGGAGAAGAAGCTTGCGTCGGCACCGGTGGAAGCTTGTTCCGCTGCTGTGTAAAAAATATATAAATGCACTAATTGTATGTTATTTTATCGCAAATTGCATATTGTGTTATAAATAAATTGCAGAAAGTATTAAAATTTTATCGTAATGCAAAAAACATCGTATATAATTTTATTATAAAATTATTGGAAAACATAATGATTTTATTATACCGCAGAAAGTGAAATATAATCACGCGATAAATGATTAATCACTAGAGAATCGCTCTCTTCTCATTTTATTTTCTTTTCGGAGAAAACGCAAAATTCTTTCACCTTGGAAGAGCTCGGCAGCCGTCGACACGGGTTGAACCGCGGGAGCAGGTTCCGCGAAGTCCAAGACAGCGCCAGATTTTTCGACTTCCGTTTCTATGTCGGCAAAAGGAGTGGCGGAAGTCAGAGAGGGCCGTTTCTCGTTACTGACAACATCCTCCGAGTATTCCGTTCCAAAAACAGGCTGCACCTGCGAGACCGGCACCGTGTCCTCGGCCATACTCGCGAAAGGATTATCCTTGATGGTGGTGGTCAGCGGGACTCCGGTGACCAGATTCGTGGTGCTCGCGGTCATAGAAGTGGAGAAGATAACGCTCGCGGCGACGTCCATGTTGGGCGCGTCGAAGAGATCCATGATGTCCTGGTTTTGCGGCGGCTCGACGATTTTACTGTCGTCCGGAATCAGATCCGGCACGTTGCTATCGACGTCCAGCAGATCGGCAAAGCTGTGCTCCGGAGTGGGCGACGGCGAGTGCATGAGCGTCGGACTGGGCGTTCTCGTCGCCTGCAGGCGATCCAGGAGATGATTCGAGGTTGCGTCCATGGCTCCGGTGACCGACAGTATCAGGTCCTTCGTGTTCTTGGCGGCCGGTTGTATCGGTGGTGGCGGAGGCTGCGGTCTTGGCGGCGGCGGCGGCCTCGACGGTAGCGGTTTTCCGTTCTTCGACGGAGGCGTCGCCGCTGGCGTAGCCGGCTGTTGCGGCGGACTGACGACCGCCGGCGGTTGTTTCTCCTCTATTGTCGTCGGCGTCGTCGTCATCGAGCCGAAAAGATCCACGCTCGCGTTATCGGACGTGACGAAGATGTCGGATGATTGGCTAGTGAAGACGTTGGTTGCTGGCGTATTTATACTGTCGGTCGCGCCGAACACGGTGCTCGGAGCGGTACTTTCGATACCGAAGGTGGCGAACGGATTGGTTGACTCGACGGACACCGCGGGCTCGTAAGTCTGATCGCTGGTGAAGTTCAGGAAAGGATTCTCGCCCGCGCCGGTGGTCGGCGCGTCGGAGAAATCTTGCAGGAAAGGATTCGAGACCTGCGGGGGCAAGCCGCCTCCCGGCTCCGCCGCATAGTCGTCCATTAAGAACGGATTTCCACCCTTAGAATCCATGATGACTCGATCACTTGAAGCTGATTTAAGAATTCTAATTAAGAATTAGAACTGCCGTTAAAATTTGAGCGAATATTTTCATGAAAATAGAATCGATCGATTTCAGTCTGTCTGTTCTACGCTTTATATAGATAGATAGATTTTTCAAGATAATATTAATTTGTTAATCAACGCAGGCATTCTTGAAGATCTTCAGTTGTAGAGAATTTTTATACTGGTGACGCATGCAACAAGTAGAGTTTACAGATTCAAATAGTCTCGCACGGAGCGAGAGTCGACGTGTAACATCAAAGTCGAACGGTCAACAATCACACACAGATAGATAGTCGAAAAGTTATTTCAAAGATCCGAAAGAAACTGAGTTAAACAGTCGATGTAGAACTACTTCATCAGTTCTGATTCGAGCAGTTTTAATTCGGTCCGTCCAGGCTCGATAGTGGCGAAACTCGTGTCGAAAGGATCCACGTCGTCGTCCAAGCCGGCGAAATCCTTGTTTTGAAGCGGCGTTAGCACTTTATCGCCTGGATCCTGCCCGTCCAGAGAGAGAAAATCCGTGGATTCTTTCACCTCGTCCGCTCTCGGATCGAATTCGTCGTCGACTTCCGGAACTATTATCGGAACGGTCGACACTACCGGCGGTAGATTGATAGGTTTCGGCCGCGGCGGTTGCTGAGGTATCTGTTGTAGCTCGCTCTCTAATATTTTCAGCTCCGCTTTGCCCGGTAAAATATTAGTGGCGATGGAGGTATCAAACGGATCCGAATAGGAGATTTCTTCTTCTTCGATGGGTTTGCTCTCGATTTTCGGCGTCAAAGGCTTCGCATCGACTTCGACCTCTGCATCCAGCAGACTCTCCTGCCGCCGGGGTTCCTGTCTCGCGATCACCTCTTCCTCGACCTTCTGTATCAGCGACGATTGCAGCTGCGCGAGCTTCAAGCTACCCGGCGTGACCGAAGTGGCTGTAAAATCGCTCTGCCGTCTGATCGGCTCTGCGACAGATCTCGGATCAAAATCGTGGTCGCTTAAACTGTGAGGCAGCCTAGGCTCCTGCTTCAGTAATTCCGACTCGATGAGCTTGAGCTCGGTTTTGCCCGGTGCGACGTTACTGACAAAGCTGGTGTCAAACGGATCAACCTCGACCTCCTCCTCTTCAACCGGCAACGATTCCTCTATAGATTTCTGCGAATAATACGGCGTCAGCGGCTTGGAAGGTAGAGACTTTTCCTCCTCGCTCGTTGCGAGAAGATCGGGCCTCTTCGACGGTGTCGGCAGCTCGAACGCGACCGCCTTAGCCGGGGCTAGTTCGAGGATTTCCGGTCGCGAGGTTTTTCTCCCGAGTTTTGTCTCCTCGACTTCGGCGTTTTCTTCAAAGTTAACTTCGAACACGGGTTCAACCGGCTTTGGCTTGACCGGCACCGGGGGCCTAGTCGGCGGATTCGCAGGCGATTGCTTCACCGACGTTTCATCTTTTCTCGGATCGAAATCGTCGTCGTCGTCGTCCTCGATGCAGCTGCTGGGCTGCTCACCGAGCAATTCTTTTTCCAAGACCTTGAGCTCCGTCTGGCCAGGCGGCAGCTCTTTTACGGTGGATGTGTCGAAAGGATCGACGTAGGTGATTTCCTCCACAGGCGCGATCGGCTGGTCTACCAACTGGCTGAGATCGGTCGCTGAGCCGCCTAGCAAGTCCTTTTTAAGCAGCTGTGAATCGTCATTCTCATTATTCTGCTCGCCATCCAATTTCAGTAAGCCAGTCTCGTAATCTCTGTTGAAGCCGGCGGGATCAGTGAGAGATATCGATACTTCTGACACAGGCAGTTCCTCGAGCTCCTTCTCGATGAATTTCAGCTCGGTTTTACCCGGCAAAATATTATCCGCGATTGTAGTGTCGAACGGATCGGCTTCGTCGACAAAAGTGGCCGCCTCAAAGCTGGCCTCGATTATCTCCGTCTGAAAATCAACGGTCTCAGGCTCCTTCGCGGCGAATGGATCGTCGGCTTCCTCGAGACGAACCTCGTCGTCCGGCCTGAGTCGGAGAC